AGGGTCAATACAGCGACAGATGCACAGGTGCCGAGCAGCCCTAGAGAAACTCTGAGGATAGGAAAGAAGACAGTTCTGTCGTGGAATTGGTATTTGGAGGCTTGGACGGAGGCTGCTGTGTCCGTTGTTCAGAAGACATGGGTTGGAGGCCGGGAGGCTGGCCAAGGGGTGCAGCAGCCGCCCTTCCTGTCCTTTGCCGAAACTCAAGAAATGAGGGGCAGGAGTGGGTGATGCCCTTGAGAAGACCAACTGAGAAGGTGTGGAGAAGACAGACACAACTGACGTATGGGTCGTTGTGGCATTCTGAATTCCCTGGCCTCACTGCCACATTTCTCTAGGCTCAGTGATCAAAAGACTGCACTCTAAAACAGTCCAGTGCAATTTCCCTTTACACCTCTTTTCATTTGCTGCTCAGAATCAAACCCTCAGGGGCCGTTAGACCCTGCAACACTGGTTGAGGTCAGTAAGGCTGGTTGAGCTTTCACTGTGTGCAGCTTATAAAAGAAGACACTTGTACCAAAGGGAGCTCATGTTAGCATCTCTTTTGCTTGAGAGAGAGAAATAGGGGGTCCAGCAGCATGTTTCATGTTCATGGATTGCAGTCAAAGCCTAGTTCAAACCCAGGCAAAGCAATTGCTGTTAAAGTATACTATAGTCTCCCCTCAGCCCATTAGAGTCCCAGACTAGTTCCCTGCCCCTACTCCCACCCCTCAATGCCTTGGCTTTAGAACCAAGCAACTGTGGCTTTGCTGGAGGCTCTATGCCCCAGGCTTCTTTGTGTCTTCTTTGACCTTGTGTCTAGAGAGTCTTGGGTCTGCCACCTAGTGGTCACAGACGTCCTTTTTCTTTGGCGTTCCTAGGTGGAAGCAGGCAGGGCCTGGGTATTTAGAGTACCACAAGCTGTAAACAGGAAACTTCTCAGCCTCAGAGAAGAAGACCAGCAATATAAGCAGCATATTGCCAATGAGGGTCTGCACCCATCCAACAGACACTTAACACGTGACTACAGATCTAACCATGTACTTGCACACACCCTGGTCGTAGCCACACAGGTTTCTCCTGTCTGTATTGTTCACTGGTGATCTGAAGGGCCTAGGATGGTGGCATGTGCATAGCAGATATGCAGGCATTCATGGAATGGAACATTGGCCACATCTTTGTGACTGCCCTACGACATGTACGTTGTCTTGTGGGATCTATGACTTGGTGTGCCCATTACTCATGTGTGGAATCTTGACATGTGTGATTTGGACTTTCTGGCCTCAGAGACTCAATGTTTAACGGCTGGGATCCACTCTATGCTGAGTTTTTAATGTAGCATTCCCATTATGTAGACACATGGTAGAACTGTCTCCTCTCAAAGAAACCCCTGGAAATTTACACTCACGTTCTGACTTTGGAGTGGAAGGTTTATCTCCCGGGGCCATGACAGAGTGTGTAAAGAAGGGAATGTCACGATTTGCCCTGAGCTATGTGACTTGCACAGTCTCTCCATGCAGCCTTCATTGTTTAAAGCATGGGACTGAGTTAGCACCCTTGCCTTTCCTTTCCTTCCAACCCCAACATTCTACTGTTTCTGTGCCTCCCAGGGAGCCGGATATGAGTGGAAGAGAGAGGACCACTTGTTACTAGGCAACCAGTACTCGCCTCACCCATGTTGCCATGGTGATGATGAAAGTTGGGCTGATGGGATTACCAGCTCCTGCTAATTGCACATGAGCACTCAAGGTCTCTGTCTTTTTCTTGCTTGCTCACTAGCTTCGACTCTCTTGTTCTTCTAGGAACCATAAAGAGCCTCTCTCTCATCTGTAGTCCTCCTGAGGCATCCCTGGTACACTAATGGAAAGAGGCTGGAACCTCTGAGTAGCTGTGTGACCTTGGGCAAGTTACCCAGCTTCTCTGGGCCTCCATTTCCTCATTTGGAAAATGAAGGGGTTGGAATGCTGATCCCTGCTGAAGGTTCTTCCTGGCTCTCAAATCCTTTGATGCCTAGAGAGCGTGTCAGGGGAACAGACCACACTGTTACCAGGCAACCAGCCGGCACCCTGCCCAAGTTGCCTTGGTGACTGGATACTGGAGGGGAGGGGAGTCACTGCTGCAGCTAATTGCTTAATTATTTATGAGTGCCTCAAGTCCTTTCTGTTGTTTTTGTTGCTAGGGGCTGTGGGGTCACCTTCTTCTCTCTCCTGCCACCCCAAGGCATCTGCATTGTGTGTTATGCAATGAGAGAGCACCTTGGCCTGGACCTCAAGCAACCCACGTCCTAGTTCTGCCTCTGTAATGTCCTAGAGCAGTGGCCTCAGGTAAGTCAGCTCACCTCTCCAGGCCTCGAGTTACCTCTTTCCTGTAGCCGTGTGTTTGTTTAGGGGAACACTAAGTGCCCCTCCACCCAGAGGTTCTGGCTCCTGCCCTCTACTTGTGAAGTGAGGAATGCAAGTGAAATGTTCCTAATTTGTTTTCAGTGAAGTATAATTTTGAAGCATACTGAGACTCAACATGTGTTTGGTGGGAAAGGGACAGAAGTGCCCGCAGTGGCCTCTCCTTGTCTTAGTCATACTGCCTGAGTTCTCTAGTAACCTAAGGTCATTCCTGCTTTACTCGCGATGCACCACCGATTTCCCAAATAGATTTCAGGCCTTCACAGTATAAGATACAGTTAGGCCATTAGGATGTAAGTAGAAATAAACATAAGAATATAGGATCTCCTTCATTGATTAATATCCATGTTGTAATCTAGAGACTTAATGTAATTTTGAGCACCTTGGACGCTAAAGCAAAAGAGTGATATATAATGCAGAAAAACTTTCAGACCTCCTCTGATCCTAAATCCTAGAAGGAATTCATTATGTGGCTTTTTATTTTATAGGAACTTCAGATATAAATTTAAAACTAGACCTTTCCGGCTGAGTGATTGTTACAGGGTCTGAGGAAGAATCAAACTGTGACAGTTTGGCTAGTTGCGGTCATTAGAAAGCAGCCATTCTTTTTACCTATGCCTTAGAATTTCATGCAGATAAATGTCACTTAGTAAGTCTGAGTCCTCAGAGCCAGGAGCTATTAATAACTCACATACATGGATATGTGCTTATCGTGTACAAATTGGAAACGTGTACTGGATTTTTTAATGCAGACAGCTGTTCTCGTCCCCCCAACTCCTTCTGAAGTAAGCCTGTACAGCTGAGGATGCAATTATGAAGATGCCCATGGTGGGCTGACTTATAAAAGAAAATGGCTAGAAAGTACATACTGCTGGGGGCTGTGTCTTTACCATGAGTCCTCTTGATACCTTTGTGGTGAAGCAGAGCTGTGTGTTTTGATATGGAAAAAATGTTCAGAGACATAATGTTCGATAAGATAACAAAGTGCTGCATTGATGTTAAATGCATCTGTTTCTTCTATAAAAAGATTGGGAGATACAGTTTTTAAATTGAGATGTATGTTTGTGTGCACAAATGTGTATTTTTTTCAGAAGCTGTTAGTAGCAGCTTCCTCTGGGAAGCAGACTGATCGTCTTGGGAGGGAGAGAGACCTCTCCTCTATGACTTATTTTTACTTTCTGGACCTTAATTTTTCACTCAGATGGTCAGGAGAACCTGGCAGTAAGAACCATAAACTCTAGAGTTTCAACACACCCATTCAAATCCCAGCCCTATACTAGTCATGTGACCTTGGAGTTAACCTGCCTACTCTGCCCATCTTTAAGATGGGTGGATAGTTCCTTCCACATCCCATTATTTAAGGGGTACACAAGCTCATAGGGTAGAGCTCTCAGAAAGGCTCTAACAATGCCCTATGAGTTTTTTGAAAAAGTTAAAGAAAGATTAAACAACAAATGCATCTGACCAGATGGATCTGCTCCTAGTACCTCAGTGATAGAAGATTTGGTAAAAAGTCACATTTCCAGAATCTTGTGCAGTATGGAAGTTACATTGCAAGAAGGGGTCACAAAGCACACATTGTTTTGTTGTCATTCTATCTTACCTTGGCTAGTTCGTGGGGAAGACAGTGGTTCTCAGGGACAACCCATCATGAACCTATAAAGCCCCCATCCCAACGTGTTTCTTCTCCCTCAAGGAGAAAGCAAAATGAATGCTGTCAGGTAGAAAATGGACTAGGTGACCAACTCCATGTCCCCAGTTGTTGGAGGCCAGAAAGGTACTATCTGGAAATTTGGGTTAAGGAGGGTTTCCAGGCCTCCCAGCATGCCTCCATGCCTTTGCCTTTCTCATGAAGAGAGTAGCAGAGGCCTAGGAGGAGACTTGCTAGAGGGTTCCTCTTATTGTGAACTCGGGAGTCTCGTGGCTACAGTGACTTCCTGGGTTTTCACACGTGTAGGTTGTGTGCACAGAATTGCAGCTTCCTCTCCCTTCCTCTGCCATAGCTGGAGGCAGACCCGAAGAACTTTGGCTGACTCTGAGGCCTCTCTTGGAAGCTGGACACTCTGTAGGCACATCCAGAGTGGGAAGGAAGATAATCCTGGTCCTTTAAATACACCAAGTCAGGCAACTTTATTCTCACCACTAGGCATGCAAAGCTTCAAATACTCGCCGGCCTCAGTGTTGCCAGATTCCATCTTTGTCTAATACCTTGTTTCTGCACTCTCAGACATTGGAGCCTTTTTATCTGTTCGACCATTGGTCCTCTCTCCATCTATCTGTCACATCCAACTGTGCTTCCATCTGCCCTTCATCCCTCTGTCCCTCCTCCAGCCATCTGCCAGCCTCGCAATCCATCCAGCCTTCAGATTGCTGGTATGTCAATCCATCTCTCCTTCCTCCCTCGCTCGCACTGTTGGACCCTTGAGATTCTATCCATACTGATCCATTGGCCGGACCTTCCATCTGTCCTTGGCCCCAGCTGCGGGGCCAGCCGGGTGACTCTTATACTGCCCTTCTCCCTCGGGTCCGCTGCTCCGGGCGCGGGCCGGCTGGCCTTTGTTGGGCTAGGGCAGGGCCGAGGCCGGGCGGGGCGGGGCGTGGGCGGGGCGGGGCTGGCGCCGGGAGACTACTAGGCTCTCGGGTCCGCGCGTCCGCGGCCTGGCCGGCGGAGAACATGGCGCTACCCCCGGCCGCCGCACCCCCCGGGGCTGGCGAGTCTCTCGGCCTGCTGCTGTCGGCGCTGCAGCCCGAGCCTGTCGGCGTCCCGCTGCACTCGCCGTGGACCTTCTGGCTGGACAGGTGAGGGCCGCGCCCCGCCGCTTTGTCTCGGCCGCGTCCTCGTCCCACGCGCGCCGGGGGTCTCGCGCGGGCGCAGCCAGAGTTCCGCGCGTCCCCGGACAGCGGGCAGCCAGCCGTGCCGGGAGTCGCGGCGGGCCGGGAGAGGCTGCCCCGCATGTCTCTGGGGCACTAGACTTGCTGCGACCTTCGCGGCGACAGCAATCAGAAAAGTCGGCCAGCCGCAGGGAAGTGTGCGGGTCCCAGTTGGGACCTCGCTTCGGGCACCTGTGCCTCTGGCCCAGGCAGGGGTGTCTGGTGAGCTGGGGCTTCTGTGATCCAGGACAGCAGCTTTCTGGGGACAGCTCGGGTGCCCTTGCCTCCAGAGGCCTCAGCGGCATCCCTTGTCTAAAACAGAAACTTCGCACACCATCCTGGGTCTCCCTCCTGCCTTGTTTTTCTTCACAATGCTCAACGCCACCGCATTCTTCCAGATGAACTTATTTTCAGTTTGTCCCCAAGCCCTCCATTGCTTGCCCTGAGCGAGATTCACAGACTAGGGTCAGGCTTTGGAAGTATGCCAGAGCCCCTCACCTAGAACTGTGCCTGAGTAGAACACCTAGTTTTGATACATGTATACATGCATGGATAGCCTGTCGTCTTAACACCTGTCACCTGTGTGGGTAATGATAGGTCAAGTTGTTTCCAAAAGTGTGTGTGAAGTTTTGATAAAAACTGTGTCTACTATGGTTTAAGAGTTAGGAGGAAATGTATGTGATAGTTTCTGGACAGACTTAGTCTTACAGTCTACACTGATTTTTTTTTTTTTTTTTTTTTTTTTTTTGCCTAGTACCAAATGCCTGCAAGTTTTGTTTTAAAGGGATACTCCTGTTTTAAGTGAAGACAGTTCTTTTCCTGGATGATTACCCCTAAGAATTGACACAGCTAGAGCCACTTTGTTTCCTTGGGACCCAGAGAAGTTGGGGGTGGGGGAGATTGCTTGAGTCTCATTTGCAAAACATTTTCACTTTCATTCTGAGATTCCAGCATTTGACTATCAAACAAGAGTGGCTTTAGGGTTTAGCAGTCATTAGCAAAGTGAAGTTATGTCTTTGTTTTCAAAGGTGTCCTCTTACTGTGCATTTGTTACCTGGCATCTGCTTTATTATACCATGCCTGTGATCCAAACTGCAGACCTGCTGACTAGTAGAAACTGATGGAGAGAACTCCACTTTCAGCAGATTTAGTCTATTTAGAATGGCACATTTTAGGACTATTCTAAGGTATCAATGTCTTTTAACATAAGAATAGGTAGGCTGGTGGTGTAGCTCAGTGGTAGAGTACATGTGCATCATGACCCAGGCCCTGGGTTTAATTCCTAGCCCTAGGGCAAAATGAGACAAGCCCTAAGAATAGGTAGCTCTAATAAAAGCACAAATTACATCTTTCTTATATTGATTTGCACTTTTTCCCCCTCTAAAAAGTCAATACATGAAATGTGTTATTTCTGTGGTGCCTAAGCCTTTAATAGAGATGCTGTATTCATTTAGAAATTATAACTAGTTTCAACATTGTGCCTGATCCATCATCTCATAATTTTTATTGAATTAATTTTGCTTCTCTGAGAATCTGTGTGTTTATAGATGCTCTGCCCACCTGCAGGCACATTCAGGGTTGTGAAGTTCTCAGGTTCTAAAGGTTAACGTGGACTTCTCCCCCAGAGAAGCATCACTGGAGAGCGTGGTGAGGTTCTCATGAGAGCCCTTCAGGAAGCCCAGCCATCCCTCAGTCTGGAGATCCACAGCATCCGAAGACCTCTGCCACCTGGAGCTTCCTTGTGGCACCTACCTCTTAGAAAGCTCCATGATCACCTTGCCCAGGCTCACCTAGCTGCACTCCATTGTTAAGTAGGCACAACAGTGGCATCTGTCACACAGGGCTATTGTGAGCTGTGAGTGTGAAGTAACTACAGGTGCCTGGCACGGAGTAACAGCTTAGTAAGTATCAACTGATGAGCAGAGGAGCTAACTGGGTTGCTAAATTGCTGTGTACACGGGAGGACCTGCATTCCCCAGGACCCAAGTCAACAGCCAGGCATAGTGGTGCAGTATTTATTTATAGTCACAGCACTTACAGTCTCAGCTCTGGGGAAGCAGAGACCAGCGGATCATTGACACCCACTGGCCAGCCAGTCTGTCCTGATTGGCCTATGCTCAGCCTAGTGAGAGACCCTGTCTGTAAAAGACCAGCATTACTGAGGAAAGATACCAGAGGTTGACCCCTGGCCACTATAATATGCATATGCATGCGTCATGGAGTAGCTGATACGAATTCAGTAATAGGAAGTCATCATCCTATGGTCATTTCCCCACTAGGCAAATTGGAGGATCCTTCGAAAGTTATTTGCACTTTAAGCAGTCAACTGTAAAAATCCTTACTTGGTTGAAAATCAGTCTGCTGTATGGCCAAGGCTGCACCTATGTGGGTCAGGACACCCGATGAACAGACTCTTCCCTTTCTCCGGGTATTTAGGTCCTCTGTCCCTTCGGTTCTTGCCTGCATTCCCACTAGTGTCCCTGTGTTTCCTGGTCACTGTGTGGTGACCTCCTTCCTTCTGTTCCTCACAGGATCCAGCTCTTGGGCCTGTCCCAGGCACAAGGCAGGCTTGCAGCTCCCACGGAAGCAGGAGATGCCAGAGCAGCAGAGGCAGATCCTACGACCTGTCTCCACTTCCCATGCACCATGCCACCTTTTCAGCTGTCCTCACAGCTGTCCCCCAGATCTCTGAGCTTAGATGTGAGCAGTTCACAGTGAATGCCATCTCTATCCTTCCAGCTTCTCAGCCCCCAAATCCTGGGGGCATCTGCAACCCTCTCTGCCCAGCATAGAAACTGAAGAACAGCTGGGCGACTATACTCTTCAGCTCCCACGGAGCTGCTCACTGCCCTGCTGCCCTCCCTCTGCCTCTGCCTGCCAGCTCATTGGCCTCCTTGCTCTTTTTTCCAATGTCCCGAGCAAGGGCCTTTGCCCCTGCTGCTGCTGCTGCTGTCACTGTCTGGACTACTTCCCAAGTCTGCTCTTTGTATCCTTCCAGTTTCTGCTCCTACATCACCTTCCGGGTGAGATCTCCCCTGGCCGCCGATGTGGAAGGGCGCACATGCCTCTACGTGTGCACCCCGGGTCCCTGATGTGTGGCATTTTGTCTTTACAATCTTCACCACTGGCTGGTCTCTCTCTAGAATGTGAGCCGTCCATGAGGGCAGAGCTCGGATCCTGTTGCTCACTTCTCAGCTTCTAGACCTGACCTAGCGGTGGCGTTGACTTCTTCCCATAGCAACCATGCTTTCCAGTGGGGGCTCGTTGCACTCTTTCACGGGTCTGTCTGTGGCCCGTAGCTCTGTTCTCAAGTCTAGACACGTACAGCCAAGATCCAGGAGGTCCGAAGTCCGGTTGCTTTCCTGATTACTCCAAACCGAGTCGATTGGCTCCAGCATCGTCTTCCTCCGCTCACCGTGTTGCTTCCTGTGCCCATGCTGCTGTCAGCGTTTCAGCGTTGTCGTGTCTGTCTGATCCTCGGACCTTCTTTTCTAAGTACCCCGCCCATCCCTATATACACTTGCCCTCCTCCCCACGAGCCCTGTCACTCTTTTGCTGGCCCTGGTCATCTGTAGCTCCAGGAGCAGAGTAGCTTGCTGAGGTACCCGCTGGTTCCCAATCTCCTTTCTCTCCAGTGCCCTGGCTGGGAGGGAACCATTCTGAGGATATACCTGCTCTGATCCTTCTGGCCTCTCTCTTACCATGCAGCAGAGTTTACTTACGTCTCTCATTACCTAGCGCTGCTTCTGCAGAGGAGTGTGTGGTTCAGATGAAGCGGGGGTTCTAGATCTCTACCCATACTTTCCACAAAGAGGCTCTAAGTGGCGAGGTGTGTTGGGTGGTGTTTTAGATGCCAACCATGGTAGGTTTTGTTTCATTTTGTTTTTCTAGATAAGATCTTACCATGTATCCCTGGCTAGCCTTGAACTCTTGATCCTCCTGCCTAACCTCTGGAGTGCTGGAATTTCAGGCATGTGCCACCACACTTGACTTTAGACTTGAGCCATATTTGCAGAAAAAAAATTTTTACTTGTTTTTGTTTTGTTTTTAAGGAAAGCCTTAAGCTTACAAGTTATGATACCAATTTATGCTTTGCTGTGGTACCAATTTATGTTTTGCTGTTTTAAGTTCAAAGCTCTCCTTTTGACCTGGCCATTGCCTTCTCCAATTTCAAAGTACTGCCATTTGTCCTGTCGTGTGTGTGTGTGTGTGTGTGTGTGTGTGTGTGTGTGTCCCCGCCTCCCAGTAACAGCAGACTTCTGATGCTTGTCTTGAGTGGACTAGGGACTAGTGGACTAGTGTTTAGGATGCAGAATTACTCCTGGTCTACCCAGAGGACAGGCAAACACAGTGCTCCTCAGTTATAATACGTGTAGCTCCTGTTAACCCTTTGGTTCCTCCACAGCATTTCTTTCTAGGCAAGCATTCTTTTATGGATAGTTGGGTTTTTTTTTTTTTTTTTGTCTCTTACTCTTTTTGTTTATTTTGTTTTTGAGACAGAGTTTCTCTGTAACTTTGGAGCCTGTCCTGGAACTAGCTCTGTAGATTAGGCTGGCCTCAAACTCACAGAGATCCACCTTCCTCTACCTCCCAAATGCTGGGATTAAAGGTGTGTGACACAACCCAGCCGTCTTCTCTAACTCTTAATAGTGAGATATAGTGAGATGCTAATGTCTTCAGGTCTATGACTGAAGGGAGTGCCTGGCACATAGCAGGTGCTTTGTATTTGTTGACTTATGTTGTCGCTATTATTATTATCATTATTGTGTGTGAGAGTGTTTTACTTAATACTTGTATGTCTGTAGAGCACATGCATATTTAGTAACCCACAGGGACCAGGGAGTTTATCAAATCCCCTAGTACTGAAATTAAAGACTGTTGTAAGCTGCAATGTGAGTGCTGGGACTCGAACCCAGGTGCTGTGGAAG